ACCTAGACAACTTCATCTACATCTACCCTTCCAAGCTCTCGGCAAGCCAACCCTCTGAGAGAAGGAAATTTAAGAAATGGAATTGAATTCATGTAATTCACCTGCTCAGGAGCCTACACTAAATTCCTACTATATAGCATTAGAGCCAAACTCCTCCCCCTGACTTCTCTAATCTGGCCCTACCCTGTCTACACCAGCAAATCAAAGATGCAAAACTTCATTTTCCATGGTTATTCAGCTCCTCACTGAAAGGGGGTCTTTCCTGGCTGTTCTTTCCCCCTCCATCATCTTCCTTTCTCTGTACCCCATTAAAATCCCATAGGCCTTAAAGACTCCTCCAAACCTCAGCTCCTTGATGAACCTCTCTTAACTACTCCAGCCCTCAACAATGCTCTCCCGTGTCCCTACAGCATGTGTGTGCTCTGTAGCACCAAACAATCACTATGCAGATGACACTGGTACACAAAATTCCACTCTACCACCCAGCACCAATGAGCATTTATTGAACAGCTACTGAAGTTCACAGCACTGTGCAGGCATGACGCATATTATGCAGACAGTGTCTCCTCCTGCCATCAAAGGGAGAAATCAAATCCGATAGGATAAAGGATCTCTCCTAGATCTAGAATCCCACTCCTTCATGCATTATATACTGATCCAATTTTGAAGTTTAAGCTTAAAGTTGACTCAAAGTTTCCAGTTTGCAGAAACTCTCCAAAACCAAGCTAGTGTTTTCCAAAGATTCCCAGCACTATCATTTCTTGAGACTGAATGCCCTCGTGGTATCAATGATCTGGCCCTTGTTTTAACCACAAGCGTTAGGGCATCTGCTGCTTAAACTGGGAGACCACTCCAAATCCTCAAAGTTAGCTTAGAGAGCATCAGATTGCAACCCGTCCCCCTCACCACCATATAAAAAAATCTTTCAAATTGAAGAGACAAAGTTTGATCTCTTCCACGTTGGGAGCTGAAAACAATAGCGGCTTTCTGCTCTAGCACGAGTTCAAAAGACTACCGAGTGACTGCTCTAAGAATACTGGGTTGGAGATGGCTGAAGAAATGCACAGGCATCCTCCTGCGACTCGGTGCCCCCTTAGCACGAGGGAAATTCTGCCCCCCACCCCCCACTAATAAAGCAACAGCTGGTACTATACTAACTAGGCAGACGCGGGCAATTGGAAGGTTGAGCGTTTGGCAGAGAGGGGGCGAGATCTGGGCGGTTAAACAACATCCTGCTGTAAAGAGCCAGCGAACTAAGAATGTGTAGTAATGACCTAATAATGTATAGGTTTTTTTTAAAAAATCAAGTGGAGATGGATGACTGGTTGGATTGATTCCAGAGGCGTGAGTCCCCGGTTGCTGCAAGAAAATACAGGAAGTGAGGTACCACGCTCAGGCGCGAAGTGGCAACCCCAGAGTTCTCAGCACTTTTTTCTGGAGTGGATCCCGGAGCGCGCAGAGAAGGTCCGCCCATCGCGCAAGGGCCCCTGTGGGTCCACCTACTCGCCTCTCCTCGCAGGTGGTACCCGGTCAGCGCTCGCCGCCCGCCCGTGAGGAAGCTGCTATGCAAACTTCCCAGCCTCGGAACCCTGCTGCTGCGAGAGCCGCTCCGCTGCGGCCGCCGCTGCCGGGAGGCTGGTATTCAACCTCCCCGCCCCCCGCCGCGGTTAAAGTTTGCTCCCCATTCGCCGATCTCCCCCCACCTCCGCCCTCGGGCTGGAGGACCACAGAGGAGTTCCTGGGTCCTCCGTGCACAAACACACCCACCAACAAAAGAAAGCCCATTAAATCTTCCCTCCTGTGAACTCGAGCCCCAGCGGATACCTCTTTGAACTGACCCCCGCCCCCGCAGCCCCCGCAGCCCCCGCGCTGTCTGGGGTTCGCCCAGCCCTCCCGGGCTCCCTCCCTCCCGGCTGCGCACTTTTGCAGCGCGCTTGGTCTTTGATGTCTCTTTACATTACGGCAGAACAGCCACACGCTCTTCCCGGGCGCGGGGCTTTGTGTAGCGAACTGACATTTGGCCTTGATACCTGTGTCTCTTGGTGATTGCAACAAATTTCTAAAATAAATATTCTACTTTGATCTCCCGGCCTTGCATTTTTAATGGACGCTCCGAACATTACTTCATTAAGAATAAGTTTTTCAGGAGCCCAGAGTGCAAAGGGAGGGAGGCTAAACAGCAGTTGGTAAAAGTCTCTCTCCAAACTTCAGCTCGCGCCTGGGATGGCGGGAATCCTGGCCGGGTTTCATAAATAGAGATGAGGCCGAGAGCAAGGACTTGGAACACTCAAGAGAAGGCCTACTGTGGGCCCCCCACAGTCCTAAAGACTTTGCATCCATTACCTCTTTTAAGCCTGCAAGCACTCTACAAGGTGAGCACTACTAAAACCTCCATTTTGCAAATGGGGAAACTGAGGCATAAAGAGGTTGAGTAACTTGCTTGCCAAGGTCACCAACTAGAAAATGGCAACCAGAAATCTGGCTTCACGTTTTCAGTCCGAGATTTTAACCACCAAGCCACTACTCTCTTTTGCCTTGCTGATGGTTTAATTAGGGGCATCTTGGAGAAAAAGTTCTCTCCTATAACAACTATGGAGATATGTTGGCTTTTCTTGCCTTTTTGTTAAAATAGCGAACAGATTCGGCAAAGGAAAATGCCTTCCAGCCTGGTTGGCCCACCTCGGCCCGCCTCCTGGGGACAAGCGGGTTCGAAGAGTTAAAAGGAGCCCGAGAGGAAACACGCTGAGGGACTAGACCCGCTTCGACAGTGCGCACATGTGCCGGTGCGCGTATGCGCCACCGGACTCCCTGCCTCTGACCTGCATCCGGGAAAGGGCTCCTTTGGGTCCCAGGCTTCGCGGGGACTTGACGCGGTGGAAAGGGGTAGGTCTGACGGGCCTCGGAACAAAACACTAAGTCCCCTCTCCTTCCCCACTCCCAGAGCACCCGGACCTCATCTTCAGGAGCCAGACTGCGTTAGCCAAGCTGTGCGGTCACTACTCATCGTTCCCGGGGCGACACCTTGTTGGAGAGAAGGTGGGCGTGCGAGGACCGGGCGTGTGAAGTGCTCACAGTATTTTGGCTGCATGCGGCCCATTCGTCTTCAGCAAGATGTTTCTATTTCACTGGCGGGCCCTGGACATGGGGAAATGTGGGCCTGGTGGCGTAGTGTCCTGACCCCTAATGGGAATGCAGAGGGCACCAATATTCAGCCCAGACTCCGAATCAGAAGCCTGTTGGAGTTGGGCTAATCGCTGGCGCCCAAGGGCGAGTTGGGCCACCGGCTCCATCCTCTCATGTCAGTCCCAGCCGCGGTGCGGGACCCGGGAGGACCACTGGAGGAAGGCAGGGCGCGAGATGGCTCGGAGCCTCGGAGAGACGAGACAGTGTCCTCTGGGAGGCCGGACGTGGAGCCGGGTGGGCCCACTCCGTTGCGCGGTCTCGTGAGCCGTGGCCGCCGGCCGGAGGCCTCTTTGGCGGTTCCTGGTCCCTTAATCCCTCCAGTGCGATGAGGACCTCGCGGCGCCCCGCCCGCCTCTTCCTCCTTCTCCTCCCCGCGCTCCCCCAGGAGGAGGTCCCGGTGTCCTCACCACCCCGAAAGGACTCGCCTTGCGCCCTGGGCTGGAGGGAGGCAGGTGGCCGAATGTCCCTCTTCCGCCAGCTACTGTGGGCTAGAGAGGGTTTGGGGGGAACACACTCTGTTGAGCGTTTCCCGGAGCCGGGCGAAGCACGCCCCGCGCCTGAAGAACTTTGTTTTCTTTCCAAAGGTGATGGGAACAACAGTTTTTATTGACTTTGCTTTCCGGTTAGAGGGCCTCACACTATTTGTGGTTTGTTCAACAACGAAAGGCTTCCTCGACCGCGCCTTTCTGTTTTCCAGTAGTGCCCTGGTAGGTCTGTGCGGCTTGCAAGAGCGCGCACTCACTTGGCGGGGTGAGGGGGAGAAATTGCTAGCGTCGCTGGGGGCGTTCGGTGGAGTCTAATAGCGGTCAGCCGCCTGTCCGGCCCTCCGCGGCTTCCAGGGCTGCCTGCCTAGAGACAGAAAAGCGAGATAGCAAAAGATTTTCCCTCGGGTGTATATTATGGGTTGCTCTGGGTTTCCTGCCAAGCCTAGCTTCGGGGATAAGCGTAGCACTGGTGTTTTTCCCAGGCTCACTATTTGCAAAAGTTGTGGCCCGAGAAAACTTCCAGGTCACCAGCAGGAACGTCACAAGAGAGCCCCAGTCACTTGTCAGGCGGGAGGCCCCGGAGCGTGCGCGCCACCCACCGCCGCCCTGGGCGGCCGCCCGGCCCCACCCCGGGTCACAGCCCTGCCCGCGGTCCCCCGCGGCGGGCAGGCGGGGGTGGGGGCACGCGGCTGGCGGGGCGCGGTGAGTCCCACGCCCCGCCCCGGGAATTCCCTCGGGTCTGTGGTGTGCGCTGCTGTTCGGGTGCAGGGTGTGTAAGTACGGGGGGAGGGGAGAATTACCCTCATCTCCTTCTCCAAGTCCCGCGCCTGGAAGCTGAAGGGAGATTTCTCTGGAGATAACAAAGACACTTTGTCACTTTGGGCGCTGCCTCGGTGCAAATCTTTAATTGCAACGGAGTGGGGGGCGGGAGAGAAGGATCAAGTGTCTCAAGCAACCCAAGCGCGGGTCTCCAGGCGGCAAGGCCCCCTTTGATCAGGAAAATCCAATTATTTGTGTATATACATTTCCCACATAGTGATTACTTCATTAATTGTCCCGCCTTTATCTCCTCCCTTCCCATCCCCCTTAATAATCAGTTCTTTTATCCAGACCAACAAACACACCATAGGAGCTTTGTGGATTCAAAGGATTTGCTTTCGCTTCTGAAAGAGCCGCTATTCTTTGATGATTGGGTAGCGGCAAACTTCAAAGCCATAAATCTTCCCTCTGACTGGCTGGCGGCCCAGCAAAGTCCTTATCAAATTCTTGGAGGTGATCCTGAAGCGCTCAGACCGCGCGCGGGGCGAGCGAGCCGGGTGCGGCGAGGGGCGCGAGCGGGGAGGGCCCTGGCGCGCAGAGCTGGCGCTGGGGAGGAACGCTGGGCGGTCGTTCGTCCTTGCCTTCGGGTCTCCATGCCTCGGCAGCGCCCTGCTCCGCAGCCAACGGCCAGCAAGCTGTAGCCATGGCCGCCGTGGCCGTCCTCCGGAACGACTCGCTGCAGGCCTTCCTCCAGGTCGGGGCTGGGCTCGAAGGGGGCGAGGGAAAGGTGGGAAGCGTAGTGCCCAGGTCTCTCCTGGCACTCTGTGCACCCTGAATCTCAAAGGGAACCCTGCTCAGCGGATGCCGCTGGAGTCAGACCTCGGGGTGCTTATGCCAACTTCACACCTAGCCTTGGTGTCAAGAGTGTGGCATTTGGGGGAGGGACGCGCGGATCCGGAGGTTGTTCGGAGTTGTGCGTCTGGCTGAGAATAGGGCCCGAGCTCAGCCTGCTGGGCCATCCCCCGGATTTCAGCCTGGGGCGGGCGGGGGAGGAGAGCGAGAGTGGCGTGGAAACAAGAGCTTAAAAGATGGGAGGGAGGGCAGATGGACAGCCGGGCTGTGGGTGTTTCCAGACCCTTTCTGATCGCGGAGCTGGAAGCGGCCCGTCCGATCCCTCTCTCCTCCCACTTTGTGCTTGCTTCCTCTGAGGCCGGGTGGCTTCTCTTTGCACCAAGTAGTTTAACAGGAAGCGCTCGCGCGCTCCGCATTCAGGTAGCATAGGCACCAAAAGTTTCCCGGGACTGGTGGGTGCGTGCGTGTGGTGCGGTGGCAGGGGAGGGACAGCCGGTACGGGGGAGGGGCAGCGGTATAACAGCTGGCGTGGGGGTGGCGGGCCGGCCGGGAGACCGCGCTTGGAGCGCTAACCTTTTGTCTCTTCTCCGCCCTCCCCCGCCGCCGCCCATGCAGGACCGCACCCCCAGCGCCTCCCCGGACCTGGGCAAGCACTCGCCCCTGGCGCTGCTAGCCGCCACCTGTAGCCGAATCGGCCAGCCGGGCGCCACGGCGCCCCCGGACTTCCTGCAGGTGCCCTACGACCCGGCGCTGGGCTCACCCTCCAGGCTCTTTCACCCGTGGACCGCCGACATGCCGGCGCACTCCCCGGGCGCGCTGCCGCCCCCGCACCCCAGCCTGGGGCTGACGCCGCAGAAAACGCACCTGCAGCCATCCTTCGGGGCGGCGCACGAACTGCCGCTCACACCCCCCGCTGACCCCTCGTACCCCTACGAGTTCTCACCGGTCAAGATGCTGCCCTCGAGCATGGCAGCGCTGCCCGCCAGCTGCGCGCCTGCCTACGTGCCCTACGCGGCACAGGCCGCGCTGCCACCCGGCTACTCCAACTTGCTGCCCCCGCCGCCACCGCCCCCGCCGCCCACGTGCCGCCAGCTGTCCCCCAACCCAGCCCCCGATGACCTCCCGTGGTGGAGTATCCCGCAGGCGGGCACGGGTCCGGGGACCTCCGGGGTTCCGGGGAGCAGCCTCTCTGGTGCCTGTGCCGGGGGCCCCCACGCACCTCGCTTCCCCGCCTCGGCGGCCGCTGCTGCCGCCGCCGCCGCCGCCGCCCTGCAGCGGGGCCTGGTGTTGGGCCCGTCGGACTTCGCGCAGTACCAGAGCCAGATCGCTGCGTTGCTGCAGACCAAGGCCCCCCTGGCGGCCACGGCCAGGAGGTGCCGCCGCTGTCGCTGCCCCAACTGCCAGGCGGCGGGCGGCGCCCCCGAGGCAGAGCCGGGCAAGAAGAAGCAGCACGTGTGCCACGTGCCGGGCTGCGGCAAGGTGTACGGCAAGACGTCGCACCTGAAGGCGCACCTGCGCTGGCACACGGGCGAGCGGCCCTTCGTGTGCAACTGGCTCTTTTGCGGCAAGAGCTTCACGCGCTCGGACGAGCTGCAGCGGCACCTGCGAACTCACACGGGCGAGAAGCGCTTCGCCTGCCCCGAGTGCGGCAAACGCTTCATGCGCAGCGACCACCTCGCCAAGCACGTCAAGACGCACCAGAATAAGAAGCTCAAAGTTGCGGAGGCCGGGGTCAAGCGGGAGGACCCGCGGGACCTGTGAGCCTACCGGGGGATGACTCGAGGCCTCTCCCGCCTCGGACTCCCTTCCCAGCACCTCTTCGGGGAGGTTCCGGGGGCCTGTGGGCAGCTGGCCGAGGGGAGACCCAACAGAGGCACTTGCCCCTTCTCAAAGCGACGCCAGGCTCCCAGCTTCCCTGGCCCGGGCCGCGGACAGGGACCCTGTGCCTAGGAGGAGCAGGGGAGGTGGGATTGGGAGCTCTGCGTCACGCAAGGGCAGTTTCAAGCTCTGAACATTCCCACCGTCGGGGAGACCTACAGTTTTGGGGGACCACCCTGGGCTGACCTTGTATATAGGAAACGCTGCTGAATTAAAGCGGAAGGACCTTGGAGATTTGAAACAGTGCTCGGGTTTTTTGCTAGGACCGGGCCGGGCTTTGTACAGGTTATTTAATAGCTTTGTTAACTATTATAATAATTATAACATTAATAAAAATGTTAACTTTTGTCCTCAGCTCCATGCAGAGCTACAGCATGAAATGTCTCTGTAAAGCAATCAGCAGTTGCAGCGTGAAAATAAATACGTTAACTCCGGGGTCACCTCGGGAGGACCCCGCTGAGGCGGTCTCATTTGATCTTTTCTTCTTCCGGGAGACTACTAAAGCGTTCAGGTTTCACCGGGAATTTGAAGGTTCCTGTAGGCTGCCTGTGTCGGAGGCTTCTTTGGTTGGGAAGGTTCTGGGCAAGTGTGTTGGGTGCATGATGGAGGAAGTAGGGCAGGGTCAGTTTTGTGGTAAAGAGGATAGGGCAAGATTTTCCGATGACTCCTTGAGTTTCTCGTTAGGCCTTAGGACTTGACCAGAGACTGTCTGGCTTCTCTTAAAAGTTTGATACCTGCCGCACACACACTACACGTTCTTTTTATCTGGCGAATTCTCGGTGGCTTTCCATTTGTTGGTACTCTCAGGACAGAGGTCACACGCGAGCTGCGCTTGCTCCTGGCAGCTGGCTATGCTGGTGTCTGGAGAGGTGCTAGGGACTCAAGGATCTGTTCACAGAGGAGATTTTGGAGAGTTGCAGGGAAGCGGCCCTTGTTCAGGTCGGTGGGTCTTTGCCCAGGAAAGAAACGTCACTCCTGTGTTTCAGCCCCGTCACGATATACAATGCTGTCTTGCTTGTTTTCTTCTTAATCATTTTGCTGTGGAAATCTTAACGGTCTTGTTTCACAATAGCCACTTAGGGATTTCTGGCTAGGCCTGGAAGTTCACTTCCATTTTGTATCTTGGGATTTTCTTTTTTAATCATTGAAGTAGAGTAAGACTTTTCTCAGAGAGGAGCCAGGAATACTCATATCTAGGTTTCTCACCTGTCTCTAAAATTTGAAGTTTTAAAGTTTGCAAGTGTTTTTTCAAGTGTCTCCTCAGCTGGCTCCTTAAGGTTTTCTAATATTTGAGTTTTTAAACCTGAAACTCAAACCTTAATCTTCTGATTTAGAATTAGCAAAGAACAGAAAATGTTCTAAATTTGTTAATATGTTAAGCTAGCATCATTAATGCCAAATTTCAATGGAACTGAATAATCTTTTTATGGTGGTAGAAGTATATATAAATTGATAGGATTTCACAGTTTACTGATTGCTGTTACCTTGCCTTTTGTTTGAAGTCAAACTGAAGGGTAAGTTCTTAAAAGCTAGGAGGGTTGTACTTGAGACTTACTTTACTTATGTATCAAGTAAAACACGAACATCAACAAATTGAAATAAAAATTACTTTTATACTCCTAAGAAATAGCATTTTTACTCTGTAACTTGGGACAAGGTAGTAAATGAATATTAGAATCATTGTGGAAATATGCCTTAGAACCAGTTACTCTCATTAGAGATTTTGGAACAGTTTAATAAGAAATTAGAAAATGAGTTTTCGGGGTTCTTTACCTGGAAAGGGCAGTTTGGGTTAGCTAAATTTTAAGGGTATGGCAGTTTTGCAAGCAAGAGTAATAAGTTGCTACACACTAACAATATACATCTAAATATGTGATCTTAGTCTAAATCAAGATTCCTGAGAGTCATTTCTGTGAAGAGCTACAGAAACTCCCACTTCTGAACTGTGCCCTGGGATGGACCTCAGAGCCACAAAAGGGTTTTTGGCCGATGATAGGGAAAGAGGAATCCTTGTTAGTAAGAAGACCAAGGGCTTTGGGCTCAGAAAATGTGAAGTGATTCTCATGCAAAAGAGAATGCCCTTGGTAGAGAAATAAAGGTGGCAATTTTGAAATGAGTCTACTATTATTGACAGCTATGATCATTTAGTATCCAAACAGATGAAGTGTCACCGATAAAGTTACCTTATATTTTTAACTTTGTGGTTGTTAAGAGAAAAAATAGGTAAAATGTATGAAATTTAATATCTAAACAGATGAGGTGTTGAAGATAGTTTCCTTATAGCTATAACTTTGTGGTTGAGAAAAACTAGATAAAATATATGGAATTTATCTAAAAATACGGTATGTAAAAAGCAGAACAAAGTCATTTGACAAAATAACTTTCTTATGTTTTCACTTAATTGAACCTGCAAATTTAATAAGTGTGGCAAAAGTACCGTCTCTAGACTAACTTGGTACAGCTGAAAGTCTGCCTTTTTGTACCACTGTAAATCTGTGTTCCGATTACTTGAGAAAAAAATGTTTATGCCGTTATCCAAGTGGAAGCCAGGAAGCCACAGTAATATGATATTATTATCCAAGTATAGGAAAACATTTCATGTTTATACTGAAAAATAAGCTAATAAATGCTGAGAAATACAAGTTTGACAATGCAGAAATGTAATAGATTTTATAAGCTGTAAAAACTTGAACTGCTGCTGCATGCTTTATTTGTTTTATAAAACTGCAACCAGAGTACCATTTAGGACTTTAAAAATTACTTTAAAACAAATCAATATGCAAGAAATAATATGCATAAATGATGTATAATTAAGCACATTTAGCAGAAAATTTAATGAAATTCAAATTAAAAGTTCAGAAGCAAATTAAATGTAAACTAAAATTTATTTTTTATTTGGAGTTTTCCCAACATCAAAAAGAAAGTTTAGTCCACCAACTGTATGCAAGGCTTTACTTAAAGACCCCAGCACCCAATTCAATTAAGTCTTAAAAACTAATTGAAGAAAATATGTTAATGATTGCCTCAAATGTCAATAGACATTTTACATTTTTAAGCAACTGTTTTAGTAGTATGCAAATAGAACATAAAGTGTCATATTTTAGAAAATTCTAAAATTAGTATGAAATGATTATTTTAAATTTAACACTCAATTGATAAATGAACCATTTTGACCAAGAATTTAGAAACATGGAAAAATTGAGTTATCAGTAATTTAGGTAATTTGGAATTGTATGTTTCTGAACTTGTTAACAACATTCCGTAGTTTTCTGCTTTTCTCAAGGGAAAATTGTGCAAATTTACATTTAGCTGACCATTAATTTGTAACAGTTCTTGTAATGAATGAAAGGAAATTATAGTAAAGAAAATATAACTGTATTATTCACCTGTGTTAGTCTTTTCTAATTTCAGTTAGAGTTTAAATCTTATAACTATATTGTGTATATTGTTTTAAATTATTTTGCCTTAAGTCGGTCAAATGACATACCAGTTTAAAAATTAATCTTGATGAGCATGCTTCTTGCAGAAGCCTACTTGAAGCAATGATATTTGTAGAAAAGGCAGTTTTTCACCCCAGTTTGCACTCTGTTTCTATACTAATACTTGGGTTTTTTAAGTAATCAGTTTAAAGCAGTATCTTCAGTGTTTCCCATTTATTTTGGTTCTGCTGTGAATGTTACGTCACAGAATGTTACGATAGCTGTAGCTATGACTTCAAATTCATGTAAACACCTGAACACCTGTTTAGGGCTCTAAACTCGCAAACCACTTTTACTTGCGTTAGCTCATCACATTAAATAATGACAAGTTGAAGTAAATTGACAATATCTCGCTGGGAAATACTCTGTTGTGGAATCAGATTCAACACTCAAGCTTTGTTTTATAGTAAATGTAATTATGGTTTGCCAACATATTGAGGGCCACTCAAAACAAGTCTTATTAACGTGGTATTAAATATCTTTACCTTCCTCTGGTTTGCATGATAGAGGAGAACTTTGAAAGAGTATGAGACCGAGGACAGCTTTGAAATGAGGATATGTGCCAACATAGTTTGATAAACTAGGGAAAACATCTAGATAGAAAGACATATGTTGGTAATGAGATATATATTTAGATCAATACACCAAAAGGACACATTTAATTATTGCGCCACTATAATGGTAACCTGATTAATGTGGCGTTCAATATATGTAAACAGTAAATTCTTCTCTGGTGCTATTCAGACTCAACACATTTTTGCATAAAGATCTTTGTGTCAGTTGCTCCTCCCTTGATTGTTTTTAAAGAATCTGCAATGTTTCAAATTAATTCATGGACATTGTAAGATAACACATAATATTCCGTACTATAACGAATAAGTGATATTGTTCAAAGATGTAATCAAACAGCTATGGACCATCACAACTTTTTTTGATAGTTTCGCAGTTGTTTTACTGTTACAACTTATTACCAGTTCAAGATTTGCACATGATGATTGATAGAGTATATATTTTTGATGACTTCCCTTTCTAGACGTTATATACTTTTCTTTCCATGTCTTTAGTGATTATGCTGAAGCATAATCCCCAGTGGGGTGTTTGACACTTATAATTCAGTCCATGCATGTGAACTGCAGTAATTTCTGCACAACACATAATAAACTATATTAACTAATATATTTTGGTTGTCTACCTAATACCAAAATTCAATTCAGGGGAAATAAATCAGGTTCCTAGTTTCATATATGAAAAACCTGCAGCTTTCACTTTTCAAAAAGTTGTTTCAGCATTATGAAGATTCAGTCTACCTATTATAAAATGGAAGTTTGTTTTACAGCAAAACTACTCATCTAATTTTTTTTCATTACTTGTCAAAATTCTAACGTCAAAAATTTCTAACGTTCTAAAATTTTCTGAAGTCTAAGGGAGTGTATAGATATCATCTGATTTTTTAATATAAAGTTAAACCGTTCAGTCATATGAGTGGTTTCTAATGATTTTATGTTTAGCGTAATCTAAAATACGGATGGAAAATATCTGCCCTCAGCTTAATTTCATCCAATTCACAAGCTAAACCCTCATTTATGCTTACGGTTGGGAAAAATGTGTCCTAATTTGAAAAGTATTGCAATTTCCTAAAAATATACATAAGGTGCCATGAAAGCTTATTTCTCTTTGCAAGTTTTATTCATATAGTCTGTATACTGTTTTCTTTTTCCATTTTGTATGTCTTTTTACTTGTGAATGTCACGTCTTCCGAATATCCATGGTCCTCTCTAACATGGAAACTCATTTTGTGTCATATGTCTCTTCATTTTCTTAAAGTATTTATGCCCAATTTTTTTATTTTACTCCCTCTAATGCAGAACTTGACGGGATTCTAAACTGTAGTTATTTTAAATCTGTTGTATTTTTAATAGGCACATATTCTTTGGTCTAAATTTTACATGCGAGTGAATTAAATTTATAGTTCTATT